AAGAAAGTGTCTGGAGAGTTGATGGAAGTTTTATGCTCTATGAACTCTACTTTCTTCTGTGATTGGCGCTAATGAGTTATACCAAAATTTACCTCAGTATTAGCATTCTGCGGAATGATCTCAACTCCGTCCTTGTACCATATGTAGTCGGGAGCTGGCTCAGCATTCGCATGACATTCAAGATTCAAAGCGCGCTTCTTTGGAATTGACACGTTCTTGATTGCTTTGGTAATAACGGGAGCAACTGTGGCTGTAAAAAAACATCTCTTGACCAAGTGGGAGATTTACATCTAGTCGAAACTTACGCGTGACTTTAACTGGATGAGTCTCTTCCGAGAACGTTCCTGCGCCTTGTTCGTTGGCTGGAGCTACTTTGAAGACATAGGAAACGCCCTCTTTTAGTTCATTTATCGTACACGTGTTGGTCTGGCACTTGACCTAGAATTCAATCCATATCAAAAGCTCTAACAGGACTAAGGATCAGAGAGGCCATACCTCAGTCCATACTGATGAACTTTCGGATTTGTATGAAACCACATACTCCGAGTATGCTATACTTTCATCAACATCCCAGGTGACAGTGACACTCTCCAGTCCAGTAGGGATAACCCGTGGAGGGGAAATGATGGTGGTTGGAAGATCTGGAAGTGAATATGCATTTAAGCTTCCATTTCAGAATGCGCCGCGTTTTTCCGAAGAAAATTGCATTTCTTCAAAGCTAATATTGAATATGCGGAGCGACTCAATTGAATAAGGCTACCATTTTAGAGTCCGGCTGCATAAAAGCAAATGAAATGAAAATCGAAAAGAGTCGCAGTCTTCAGAAAAGTTAAATAGATTCTATTGCCGTAGAAAGGAAAGAACGCTACGATGAATTACCGAGAATGCTGCAGAAATTCAAAACTGGTTCAAAAGGAATGAGAATCGGAAATTCTTAATTTTGCTATTCCTCTTCAAGAAATTAGTAAGATGTGAATTCAAACTGACCCAGAGCTGCCTTGATACGAAGTGGTTCTGATTCAACATTGGATGCCGAGATGAAACCAGCTTCGTTATGAGCTTCCACTTTAAACACATAGCTGACGTTCGGTCGAAGGTCAGTAACCGTAAATTGTTCTTTGAACAGGAGCTCTTCATTCATCTGAAACAGAAGGATTTCACTGCAATTTCAACCTGAGATGAGTTTTGCTCAAAATGACAATATCCACAGATCTGAAAACTAGCTATAGATGCTGCGCGGATAGCCAAAACTCCATAAGAAATGCGGTAGTGGAAAAAATTTACCTGGATCCATTCGCCATTGTCCTCCTTTCTGTAAACATCGTAGCCATAAATTGGCGACTCGCCAGTATCAATTGGCTTCGACCAAGACAATACGCAGGAATCTTGGGATACTTGAGAAATTCTTGGCGGTTCGGTCAGTTGTGGGGCTTTGTATGGTGTTCCAGTAGTTACCTGAATATTATGTATTAGACTTCCAAATTGCGCCAATTTTCAATTCATTTTCACTGATGATCTAATGCCTATTTTGTGATTGGAGTAAACTTACCACAGGCGTATAGGATGGCTCTCCAGTTCCATATTTGTTCACTGCAGATACTCTCAAAATGTAGCCGGTATCTATCTCCAAATCTTCTATGGTGTATGATGTCTTGGCAGCGGAAACCTGAATAGAAGTAATTCACTTTGACGGTACGGTGTTTGAATAAGCTCTGATGATTCTGGTATGGCCCTT